AGAGAGAGAGACAGACAGACAGACATTGTCAGTCAGAATCAAAGCCCCAACTTGCAACCACACAGCAGACATCACAAGCGTCGTCATGGAGCCTTGCCAATCTCCACTCGAGATCTCCATCTGGCGAGTCCTGTGCTGCAGGGCAATCAAGCTATGGAAGCCGCAAGGCAGAAAGCCAAAAAGGGCCTGGCATCTGGCACCAGAAGAACCTCAAAACATCGGAAGCTGCAGGTGCAACGCAGAAATGGAATGCTCTTGACAACCGCTCATGACTCACTAGTCAAAAGATCCATGACAACTGGCGGCGGAAGTTGAGAGCAGATGCGACTGCCAGAAACTCGTGCTTGCACCGGCTTCAATGGAAATCAGGCAAGGGCTGGAAGAACCGATGCCGTTCTTGCCCAGCACCTGTCTGACATGCTCGGAGCTTGTGACAACCGATACAGTAGGCCAGTAGGCCAAGCCTTGCGCAGCTCTTGGTTGGGCACCTGTCAAAAGAGAGAGGAAAAGAGGCGAGCGTTGCAACGTTTCCGTCGAGACCCTCTCGTTTTGTCGCCTTGGGATGGCCGCTCTGGCGCTTGGCAGCTGCGGAGCAAGGCCAACCTTCCACTTCCTGACCTCCCAACGTCGGAGCAACTTCAAGCGAAGTAGTGCACAGCAGCTGCGACATCACGCAGCAATGGTGCAAGAGAGCCTATACGCCCACGATTGATCTCACGCCAGCTGGCGCAAGCCTGAGGGGCGGATGATTGGCGGATGTTAAACACACCAAACCCAGAAGCAGCACAATTGCAAACCTAGGACGGACGTGGTTCGGGTGTCTCCGACCTTTCTCTTTCGTTCCATGCCGAGCTCTCGAACCTTTTCTAGCCGAGTCCTCTTTGCTATACCGTCTCTCTGCGACCCCTCTTGCTGATTGCAGCGCAAAATCGGACACTGTCTAACGTGCGCTGCTTCCATCTGCGAGCTGTGCTTGCTGCTGAAGCGGCTGATGAAGGCGTCCTTTCATTCTCCTACATTCACCCAGTTGTTGGTGGCTTTCAACTCGTTCTCTGCGTGTTCCTTGCGAAGGGTCGCTGCATGCTGCTGCCATTTTCCGCACGCCGGCAGTCCACCCGAGCTCCCTCACGACTGGACTCCAGTCTGTCGGGGCTGCCAGGCGCCAACCTCATCATTGAACACTGGGATACACATCCAGGCACATCACTGTAAGTCCTATCTACGATTCTACGGATTCTACGGATGTAAGCACCCGGCTCTAGCAGACGACCAGCGGCATGCCACTCTGCGTCGCCATGGCCACTTCGGAGGAGGTGAATCTGTGCATGGTCACTTAAGGATTCTTGCTTGCATGAAAAACCTGGTGTCTCACGTCACAGCTAAGTGCATCCGCAAAAAAAATCCGCTTTGCCACTACCCCTGCACACGGGCAAAAGCAGTCGGTCCTGGCACGCAAGCTGATCTGCTCCCGCCCGGACTAATGCACGGCGCAGACGCGGCGAGCTTGCATCGAATACGGCTTCGCAAAGTGCATCGCGGCCTTGCTCGTCAAGTTGGCGGTTAAGTTGAGTGTACATGGAAGCCCGACAGCAATGCTAGCACCGTCACAAAAATCCACTTGCCTGCAAACCTCTCACCCAGCATCACCATAGGTTGCCGGAGAAGCCACACGGCAGCAGCAAGGAGGCCACCTCGGCATCAGGTCCAGCTGACACAATTTTCGGCCTGCCTACTGCAAACCGAAACCCGCCATGACACAAACGAAGCTCAAAGAGCCTAACTTGAATTCAAGGTCTGCATCTTGCAACCCAGCGGCCCGCCACAGAGAAGGACCAGCCCGCTGCGACGAGCATGCGGCCAATAAGGCTGTCCTTCCGCAAACGCAGACAATCATCGCCCACGAAGAGGATATTCAAACCGATGAGGTTGCCTAAGAGATATCACCAGCCACGAAAAACACACAAGCACAACGAGGGCGAAAATCGCTCGATGCATGTATGCCGGTTGTCATCGAGCCACCGACTGCGTAGGCTCCCGCTCCACCCAAAACACCAAGAAGATTGCCGAAGAACTGGCTGAGACCTGGGAGCCAATGACGGCGCATCGTCGTTCTGCTGCCTCCGACGCCGTTCCTAGGGATTGGCATGGCAGCTGACCAGCAAATTGCAAAACTGAAGGAGAAACGATGCAAACCACAAGGCCAGCCGAATGTCAAAGATGCGATGAGAACATCCACCGGAGCCGAATGGAGCCAATCCACCATCGGCGTGGCGGGCAAACCACCACTCGATGACACCACTGCATAGCCGGCATCGAAAACGGGCAACATATATCCCAACTTGGTGTTTGTGGATACTGCACGTGTCGGCCATGAGTACGTGCATGCAGAACCCACAGCGAACCCAAATCTACTCCTGTGCGAGCGCGCGTCCATGGAGCTCCTGCTCTGCCGCAGATGGCGCCACTCGTTCAAGAAGCGCTCGACCGGGATGGTTTCGTCAAACCCCCACGGATTGCGAATCCTGAAAGGCACAGGCTGCATGAAATTGCCACCACCTGACGTGCATCCTTTCTCTCACATCCAAGGCTCCGAACACCGACGATCCCCTCCTCATCGGCATCGAAACCCAGCAGATTGACCAAGTGCCCCGTCCCACCGTTGTAGTTCAACATCACGATCACAGCGCACCCCTGGGCAGCTGCACACTCCAGAAATGGCTTTTGCAGCAATTCTATTTGTCGTGCTACGGATGGAACTTCAGGCGGCCTGGTAGCTTCATGTGCAGAGCCGAGGCACCATTGCACGATACTGTTGGAGCTGCTCCAGCGTCCCGAAGTTGTAGTGCTGAGCAAGGAAGCCCACATGCCGGGCGAATTTTGCCAATTCTGCAGGGAGTTCGCCTGGCCATCAATGCCAGGGAGTGCAGTGTGCCACCTGGATCCCACACTGCCATGCATTCTGCTTGAGCATGCCTAGGTCCACATCACCATATGGATGAATTCGCCGCTCGATGATGTCTGGGTCGCATGGCAAGCCAAGGAACTCCAGGGACATTGCCAAACATGTCGATCCGCAGGACCTTTCATGATTACATCATACTGAAGAAACATGAATAATCAAGAATGTGAAATTAGCACGAAGAAACGTCTGCAGCTCATCTTTGCTCATGTAATCTCATGTATCTTTTGCTGAAATGACAGAAGGCAGCTTTATGCATGACGGGACCTGCTGCAAAGTCTTTCTGATACACCCATCACTGCGATGGCTTCGGTGTATCTTTGATGAATGTAACTAAACCCACGGTTGAAGGAGTATCAAGGCAGAACGAAAATCTTCTGTTTAGCTAATCACGACAAGAGAGGCGGGCCCTTCTGCGTCAGGCGTGGCATCGATTCCACGATGGCATGCACAACATTTCACCATGCAAAGTCCATCACGAACTACTTCATGGAGATGTGTTGAGTTTGTGCGATCGCATGCGTAAGACTCGGAAGCCAGTTCTGGATTTTTGGCTTCTGAACCCGTTGTTTCGGCAGGTCTGGCCGGACAAACAATGTTGTCCCTCCTTCGGTACACCCAAAGGCTTCACAGACAATAGACTGCAGAATAAATTTGGTCGTGGCTCATGATCATCCGTGACCCCCAGATTGCAAGCATCGATACAAGTTCTTGAATTTTTGACTCTGTTTCATCGCCCCGCCGTCATGTTGAGCGGAGTTCGAACGCCGACGAGAATGAGGAGCAGGATTCCTGCAACTTCGGAGATGACTAGCGCTTGCATACGGAAATGGCTTCGGATCGAGAACTTTCCGTTCCAACTTGTGAATGAAAACCTTGCCTGCACAAGCAAAGTGCTTCTGGGAACGACCGTCAAATGGCATCAGCTTACGACTGTTGCCATGGCTCCGCAAAGTGCCATGGTCAGATAACTCACGTGGTATGCACCAGCAACTTCGGAATGATTTAAAGTTTGGCAGGGAAACTGCAGTGGATCCTCAATGGCATGGCTGGCAGCTTCGGCTCAAAAGCTACAGGTGAACATCCAGCATCATACCAATCCAAACTGTCACCCGGCATGCTATGTATGTGTCAGAACCAACAACTGAGCTTCGACTTGTGCCAATCTGAGAAGGCAACACCGCGCCATGATGTCGCTCCGCAACCCCGGCGGCGGCGGGCCTCATCTTACGGCTGCACGCTCTCTGTTGTAGTTATCGAACATCACACGCAGCGTCCAGTCACAATATGTAGCCTACCGGCACACTCCATCTGCTCCAACTGTTCCTCGGTCGGTCAGATGTTCAGAGGAGACACAACCCTCGGCCGACATGCCTGCCAACCAGCAGGTTCGCTACAACGATGACATCGAATCCAGTATGGAACCTCGCGTGTGCAAACAACGAGCCTGCGAAAGCACCATGACATGCATTCGAACACACTCACAAATGCAAGGGAACTCGCCTTCTTGCATGTTGCTTCCTCACCTCGTCAACCACGCATTACAACTGCTGGCACGGTGTGCTGATGCGAACAACGCAACGTTCATCAACTTGGCGAACCTTCCCAGCCTGCCCGATGCGGATGGTGCCGACACTCTTGTGATGACCCCTACACACGATGGAAATCATGGATACGAATCTATCTACAGCTGCGGGTTATCGCCAAAACACTGCAACATGCACATTTCAAACGCATTCACACCACGTGTGGGTTGTTCGGTGTCGTCCCCGCAGCGTAATCCTAGCGGCAAAATGCCCGTGGGATCCCGCGCGCGTAGGACCTGTGAACGTGCGTCCTGGATCGTCGAAGTAACGATTTCGAGCGCCTCCCGCGTACGAGCGGGCAGGGTCACAACCTGCCCAAACACTGTCCCGGCTGCAGGCGCCTCTTCTCAGCCGCAACGAGGGCATCGTGTTGGCCAAGCGCATATCAGGCCGGCGCCCGTCGCCCTGCTCGCATAGAGGCTTATAAAACCTACTCTCCTGCAATTACATATTTACTGAAATCCAATGGGGTTTGATGCTTTACTGCACGTTGAGGCTGAATACCCGCTGAAAATTTACTATTATGCTGCAAATAATAGCTCAATTAAGCAGTAAAACTATTTTACTACCTTTTTCTTTCCTACACCGCTTTACGACGGCGAACGTCAAAATCCTTGTGCAACTAAAGAGGGAAGTGGCGAATGCTCGCTGCGCGGCAACCGAGAGACTGCCTCTCCAGCGTGCACCGTAGCGGCATGAGCAGCGCGCACGGCGGCAGAGGCGCTGTCTGCGCGAACTTGTCCGAGAAGTCGACTGGTGGGACGCCTCCGGCGCCCGGCGGAGCATCCGTCAGGGCGAAGGCTGCGAGCAGGGCAACGCCTTGGCCCCAGCCCGTACGCGCTTGGCCAACACGACGCCCTTGCTGCCGACCAGCGCCTGCAACCTCGTGAATGCTTGGCCGCCTTCCTCGACGACGTCTACGTTGTGACCACGCCCGCACGCGCGCGGGAAGCGCTCGACGTCGTCACCATGTCTATCCAGGACCGGGCAGGCGTTGCCGCCAACTTGGGCAAGACCCGCGTTTACAACCGCGCCGGCCGTCCTGCGCCCGTGGGCATTGCCGAACTCGGCAAAGCGGTCTGGACCGGGAACGCCCCTGAAGCCGCGCGAGGGTTTCTCGCCCTTGGCACGCCCATCGGCCACCCAGCCTACGTTGCGTCGCACACAGACGCGCGCCTCAGGGAGGAGGCCCGGCTGCTGCAGGAGCTCCCCCTGCTGCCCGACTTGCAATGTGCGTGGCTCATCCTTGCCATGTGTGCCGCCCCGTGTGCCGATCACTTGCTGCGCACCCTACCTCCCGACCTCTCGGCGTCGTACGCACGCGGCCACGACGACGCCGTTTGGCAGTGCCTGCGTGGCCTTCTGGGCGAGCCTGATGACCGAGATCCCGAAGTCGCTGCCGCCCGACGCCTCGCGCTTTTGCCGGCCCGCCTCGGCGGACTCGGACTCCAATGTGCGGAGCGCGTCGCTCCTGCCGCATACTGGGCTGCGTGGGCCGACGCTTTGCCCGTCTTGCGGCTGCGTCGCCGCGAAGCTGCTGCGCGTTGCCTGGCCGAACTCGAAGCCGGATCAGCATCCTTTGCCCTCTGCTTACGCGCTGCCGCTGCAGCTGGTTCCCACCTCACCCACGCAGGATGGGAG